CACATCTTAACCCACACATCTGAACCCACACATCTGGACCCACACATCTTAACCCACACATCTTAACCCACACATCTGGACCCACACATCTTAACCCACACATCTTAACCCACACATCTGAACCCACACATCTTGACCCACACATCTTAACCCACACATCTTAACCCACACATCTGGACCCACACATCTTAACCCACACATCTTAACCCACACATCTGGACCCACACATCTGAACCCACACATCTGAACCCACACATCTGAACCCTCACATCTGAACCCTCACATCTGAACCCACACATCTGAACCCTCACATCTGAACCCACACATCTGAACCCTCACATCTGAACCCACACATCTTAACCCACACATCTGAACCCACACATCTGAACCCTCACATCTGAACCCACACATCTGAACCCACACATCTGAACCCTCACATCTGAACCCACACATCTGAACCCACACATCTGAACCCACACATCTGAACCCACACATCTGAACCCACACATCTTAACCCACACATCTTAACCCACACATCTGGACCCACACATCTTAACCCACACATCTGGACCCACCACATCTTAACCCACACATCTGAACCCACACATCTGGACCCACACATCTTAACCCACACATCTTAACCCACACATCTGGACCCACACATCTTAACCCACACATCTGGACCCACACATCTGAACCCACACATCTGAAAATAATTATTCATTGTGTCGGGGGACAGGCAGCCAGTATATATATACCTGTGTTTACCTAAGAGCCACTAACACTATTGGCCTCGACGTTGACAGAAAGCCGGCGGCTTGTCGAAGTTCTCCCCCCCCCCGCTTTACCTTGATGATCTATTCCAGCTGGACTTTAAAAGTTAACAGAGTTTTGGCATTAATGGCTTCAGCGGGTAGGCGGTTCCATGGGTTAATAACCCTGTGGGTGAAAATAAACATATGTTCTCAGACCAACATTGTAGGTTGTTGAGCTTGGACCCGTTGTTCCTTGTTTGTGTTACATCTGACCTTCTGAAGACATTGTCAGGATCAACATCCTTCAACTTGTTCTGTATTTTAAGTTTTAATGAGGTCCGCCCTGGCATGCCTGGTTTGGAGGGCTGTTAGCCCTGTGGCCCTCAACCGTTCCTCATACGTGAGTTGACTTAACTCTGGAATATTGGACATAGTGTACGTATGTACAAATACATATTGTACATGTTGATCAGACCACACACTAGAAGGTGAAGGGACGACGACGTTTCGGTCCGTCCTGGACCATTCTCACAATCGACTTGAGGAAGGTTCAGGACGGACCGAAATAGTCGTCGTCCCATCACCTTCTAGTGTGTGGTCTGGTCAACATACTTCAGCCATTTTATTGTGACTCATCGTCTGCATATTGTACATGTTAGGCTTATATCGAGCTCACCCCCCCCCCCAGAGTGGAACTTCTAACCCTCCCCAGGATACAACCCCATAACAAGCTGATTACAGGAAGTGACGACGTTTCGGTCCGTCCTGGACAACTATCAAGTCGATAATGGTCCAGGACAGACCGAAACGTCGTCACTTCCTTTTTTTCAGATGTGTGGGTTGGGTGCCTAAAAGAACAAAGGAAAGTGCAGAAGGCCTACCGGCCTGCACGAGGCAGCTCCTATGTATATCCCGCCAATATTATGGCGGTTGGTCATTTCCCGCCATCCTTGTGGGTCCCCTGACGCGCCGCGCCTCGGAACGCTTCTCCTTCTGGAATATTTACGTCGCTTACATTCCGAAGTTGTTCCCCAGAGGCCTGAGCTTATGCAGATTACTGCAGCCGGACTTTCAATGAAGACATAACAGGCAACATAAATCACATTATGTATTCAAACTTTTAAACCATGAGGACGATGTTTCAAAGTTGAAGTTTCTCAGGGAAAAAAACTCTGAAATAAACTCAGGTTCCCACACGGATAGACCACGTGTTCCATTCTATTATGAGGCCAAGAGTAATCATATATAACCAGTCATACATATAATATATATATGTAATCATATATAACATATTAGGTGTAGAGACTGATATTTGGGGTCTGTGGCACAGTGGCATACGTCCTCGACTCGCAATCGAAAGATCCGGATTCAATCCCCATGCAGGACAGAAACGGTTGGACAATTTTTTTTTCATCTAATTCCTCTATTCACCTAGCAATCAAATAGGTACCCGTGAGTTAGGCAACTGTTGTAGGTTGCATCCTGCAGAAAATAAGTTTTTTACTAGATATACCTCGATAAGAATAAGTACAGGCTTCCTTCCAGGATATTGGAATTTATGTATTTATCTATTTATTTATATAGAAGAAGGTATATTGGGTTCATGAGAGTACATAGCATTGATGTTTTTACATGGTTGTAAAGCCACTAATACGCATAGCGTTTCGGGCAGGTCCTTGATCTAATATATAATTTTAAGTAGGTAATTTCTAGCAAAATTGAAAAGATGTTAACAGGTATATTGTAAGAAAATTGGATAAATATTAGTAGGTATACTAAAGTAAAATTTGAGGAATATCAACATGTACATTGTAGCATAATTTGAGGATTATTTAATGGTATAATGCAGTAAAATATGCGTTCAATATAACCATAATATATGATGATAGTGGTGATTACAATGGTAAAGATTATATGGCTTAGGAACATATATTAGAGGATAGGGTAGCACAAGATACAATGCGAGTTTCAAGCACCAGGTAGGAAACTATGAAGATGAAATCAGGTACATTTGGGTTTTATTTTTGAATAAGGCAAAAGTTGGACACCTTTTCAATTCATTAGGGAATGAATTCCAGAGACAAGAGGGGGGTAGAAATAGCCTTAGCTACCCTATGCCTTTGAGATGCATTTCTTTCTTGTCTCAATAATCATACTTGAACTTGAATCTATAGACTACGTCCCTTTATTTACATAGAGTGTTTACACAGATTAAATTTGACTCTGGGGATATCAAAGATATATTTATTTTTGATGTGATGATTATGTGGTGATTTAGTTGAATCGTTTACCAGAGGGTCAACACCCCTAGTGGCCTCGACGGGGACAGGAATCCAGCCGGTTGTCAAAAGGAATCGTCATTATTTCTGAGGATTTCTATCTGGATTGATTCTGAACTGCAGTAATGCCTTAGGATTTAGAGCTTCGACGGGTAGGCAGTTCCAAGGATTTTTACCTGATTTACCTGAGGGCCACTAACACTAGTGGCCTTGACGAGGACAGGAAACCAGCGGCTTGTCGAAGGTCCCCTCCATCTGCCTTGATGAACTTTTTTAGTTGGACTTTTAAATTTAACAGTTTTGGCATTTACGGCTTCGGCGGGTAGGGGGTTCCGTGGGTTAATAACCCTTCGGCGGGTAGGGGGTTCCGTGGGTTAATAACCCTTCGGCGGGTAGGGGGTTCCGTGGGTTAATAACCCTTCGGCGGGTAGGGGGTTCCGTGGGTTAATAACCCTTCGGCGGGTAGGGGGTTCCGTGGGTTAATAACCCTTCGGCGGGTAGGGGGTTCCGTGGGTTAATAACCCTTCGGCGGGTAGGGGGTTCCGTGGGTTAATAACCCTTCGGCGGGTAGGGGGTTCCGTGGGTTAATAACCCTTCGGCGGGTAGGGGGTTCCGTGGGTTAATAACCCTTCGGCGGGTAGGGGGTTCCGTGGGTTAATAACCCTTCGGCGGGTAGGGGGTTCCGTGGGTTAATAACCCTTCGGCGGGTAGGGGGTTCCGTGGGTTAATAACCCTTCGGCGGGTAGGGGGTTCCGTGGGTTAATAACCCTTCGGCGGGTAGGGGGTTCCGTGGGTTAATAACCCTGCGGGTGAAAAAGCATCTTTTCTCAGTCCTACATTGTGGCTTGTTGAGCTTGAAACCTTTGCTCCTTGTGTGTGCAGGCGATGAGTCACAATAACGTGGTTGAAGTATGTTGACCAGACCACACACTAGAAGGTGAAGGGACGACGACGTTTCAGTCCGTCCTGGACCATTCTCAAGTCGACTGTGAATCAAGACAATCGACTTGAGAATGGTCCAGGACGGACCGAAACGTCGTCGTCCCTTCACCTTCTAGTGTGTGGTCTGGTCAACTCCTTGTTTGTGTTACATCTGACCTGAACAAACTATCCGCCTCAACAACCTACTTGTTCAGTATTTTAAAAGTTTCAATGAGATCCGCCATTGTTAGCCCTGTGACCCTCAACTGCTCCTGATACGTGAGTTGACTTTTCTCTTGAATGACTTTTATTGCCCGGTGTTGCACCTTCTCCAGAGCAGCTACGTTCTTCTGAAGATGCGGTCTCCATGAGCTCTTGGGTACAGTAATCCAAATGGGTCCGCTCCACCACACACTTACCTTCTGTATAGCTCCTTGAGACGCTTCTGGCCTCTCTCTCTACAGCTTTCTCCCGACAGAAGGACAGTTATAGCTTCAACGAATCTAAGTAGTCCTCGTAGCCTGGTGGATAGCGCGCAGGACTCGTGATTCTGTGGCGCGGGTTCGATTCCCGCACGAGGCAGAAACAAATGGGCAAAGTTTCTTTCACCCTGAATGCCCCTGTTACCTAGCAGTAAATAGGTACCTGGGAGTTAGTCAGCTGTCACGGGCTGCTTCCTGTGGGTGGAGGCCTGGTCGAGGACCGGGCCGCGGGGACACTAAAGCCCCGAAATCATCTCAAGATAACCTCAAGAGAAGTACCTAACAAAAGTGCTGCATATTTTCTCACTAATACTGATCGACAACATTAATACTACTACTACTACTACTAATAATAATAATAAATACAATTAAAATTACATAAATATATTGTCTTTCATTTAAAGCTTTTGGTGAATGAAGCAGAGTATAAGGGAGCGACATGGCCTTTAGAAAACAATCTTCAAAAATGCAAATGCTTTATAATCTCTCCTGGAAGCTAACATGATCTTAAGACAAGAGTGAGAGGACTCAGCACGTGAGTCTGGTAACGGTGACTGACTAACCTCTGTTGGCTTGCAGGCGGTAGCAGCTGACCCGCCGATCAGAGCGCCTTCCCGATCACAGCAGTTGAGGGTTGTAAATATGTTGTAGGGTGAGAAGGCCGCCGGGAACTGCGGCAGGAGGGAGGCAGAGGTACTCACAGCTGGCGACGCCACGATCCACGAACTCGGAGCTGTTGTGTCAGCCATTGTGTATGGTACCATTCCATCTGTCTGGGTGTTGGGCCGGGCCACCCCTATCTGTAAAGGGAAGAGGTTTGGATAGTACTGGACGGTGTACTTGGATAGTACTGGAGGGTGTACGTGGATAGTACTGAAGGGTGTACGTGGATAGTACTGGACGGTGTACTTGGATAGTACTGGAGGGTGTACGTGGATAGTTCTGGAGGGTGTACGTGGATAGTACTGGAGGGTGTACTTGGATAGTACTGGAGGGTGTACGTGGATAGTACTGGAGGGTGTACGTGGATAGTTCTGGAGGGTGTACTTGGATAGTACTGGAGGGTGTACGTGGATAGTACTGGAGGGTGTACGTGGATAGTTCTGGAGGGTGTACGTGGATAGTACTGGAGGGTGTACGTGGATAGTACTGGAGGGTGTATGTGGATAGTTCTGGAGGGTGTATGTGGATAGTTCTGGAGGGTGTACGTGGATAGTTCTGGAGGGTGTACGTGGATAGTACTGGAGGGTGTACGTGGATAGTACTGAAGGGTGTACGTGGATAGTTCTGGAGGGTGTACGTGGATAGTACTGAAGGGTGTACGTGGATAGTACTGGAGGGTGTACGTGGATAGTACTGAAGGGTGTACGTGGATAGTACTGGAGGGTGTACGTGGATAGTACTGGAGGATATATACTCGGTGTCGAGGCCAGCAACAGCTAGTCGTCCTCAGGTGACTGTCATCTGTTTTTGTCTCCGCTGACGGTGGTGTGGTCGTGGAGCCCCGTCGTCAGACCACCGCTGACGGTGGTGTGGTCGTGGAGCCCCGTCGTCAGACCACCGCTGACGGTGGTGTGGTCGTGGAGCCCCGTCGTCAGACCACCGCTGACGGTGGTGTGGTCGTGGAGCCCCGTCGCCACACCACCGCTGACGGGAGTATCGTCGCGGAGCCCCCGGTAGCGACGCGCCGAGCGGGCCTGCCGCTGTTTATCGATCCTGTAGCGGAGGAGATCTGAGAGCGCGGCGCGGTACTGGACCACCACAGCCCCTTCCACACACCTGCCCCACACCTGCGGGGGTACTACAGATGCTCGCGAGCTCAACAGTAAAGTAAGAGCTTACTTAAATGAGGCACTTATACACAAAGCACAACACCGTAATGATAAAGAAAGCATTTTTAAGTGTCAAATTTTCTCAATAGAAAATTCCTTCAAAGCGACTTTATCCCATTTTTCTGTGCCTCTCCGCTCCTCGTGTTGTGTGCACTTACCTAGCTGCTTCTGGTGTGGGGGGAGCTTCAGCTCTTGGGCCCCACCTCTACTTTCAGTGAACTGTTGGGCAGGTTCCTTTACCTGTGGTCTACGTCCTCGACTCACAGTCAAGGGTCCCCGGGTTCGATTCCCGTACGGGACGGAAATGGTTGGGTATGTTTCCTTTCACCTAATGCGTATGTTCACCTAGTATTAAATATGTACCCGGGAGTTAAGGAACTGTTGTGATTTGGATTCCGCCCAGTTGGGTGGGTGTGGAGCACATGACTGTAAAGCTGCCGCCCAGTTGGGTGGGTGTGGAGCACATGACTGTAAAGCTGCCGCCCAGTTGGGTGGGTGTGGAGCACATGACTGTAAAGCTGCCGCCCAGTTGGGTGGGTGTGGAGCACATGACTGTAAAGCTGCCGCCCAGTTGGGTGGGTGTGGAGCACATGACTGTAAAGCTGCCGCCCAGTTGGGTGGGTGTGGAGCAAGACTAGTAACTGTGCGACTCATCATAGATGTAAGTGCCTTGTATAGTGACTGTTGTGAGCCTCTTGTTGAATCACTCGTGACACAAAAAGATTATCGATGTGTATATGTATTTGTGTAAATGATTGAATATATATGTACATGTATATATAACATTAACAATTGTGTAACTAGGTTCACAAGATTGTCACTCTGGATTTATTAAGCGTAATTTTGTGTCTGACAAGATATGGATTCCATGCAAGTGCTGCATATTCCAGAATTGGTTTGGCATACGTGTAATACAGAATCCCGGAGAAGTCCTAGTTCAAGTGACTAAAGGCAGTCGTTACACTGGCCATCAGGGAAGGCCTGACGGCTGAGTGGACAGCGCTAGGGATTCGTAGTCCCAAGGTTCCGGGTTGGATCCCCAAATGGGATCTTCTTCGTCTGCTAGCGGAGTCTGCGAGTCTATGCTTCTTTGTCTGCCAGCCTACGCTTCTTCGTCTGCTAGCAGAGTCTGCGCGTCTACGCTTCTTTGTCTGCTAGCAAAGTTTGCGAGTCTACGCTTCTTTGTCTGCTAGCCTACGCTTCTTCGTCTGCTAGCAGAGTCTGCGAGTCTACGCTTCTTCGTCTGCTAGCAGAGTCTGCGAGTCTACGCTCCTTCGTCTGCTAGCAGCGTCTGCTAGTCTAAGCTCCTTCGTCTGCTAGCAGCGTCTGCTAGTCTACGCTCCTTCGTCTGCTAGCAGCGTCTGCTAGTCTACGCTCCTTCGTCTGTTAGCAGCGTCTGCTAGTCTACGCTCCTTCGTCTGCTAGCAGCGTCTGCGAGTACGCTCCTTCGTCTGCTAGCAGCGTCTGCGGGTCTACGCTCCTTCGTCTGCTAGCAGCGTCTGCTAGTCTACGCTCCTTCGTCTGCTAGCAGCGTCTGCTAGTCTACGCTCCTTCGTCTGCTAGCAGCGTCTGCTAGTCTACGCTCCTTCGTCTGCTAGCAGCGTCTGCTAGTCTACGCTCCTTCGTCTGCTAGCAGCGTCTGCGGGTCTACGCTCCTTCGTCTGCTAGCAGCGTCTGCTAGTCTACGCTCCTTCGTCTGCTAGCAGCGTCTGCTAGTCTACGCTCCTTCGTCTGCTAGCAGCGTCTGCGGGTCTACACTCCTTCGTCTGCTAGCAGCGTCTGCGGGTCTACACTCCTTCGTCTGCTAGCAGCGTCTGCTAGTCTACGCTCCTTCGTCTGCTAGCAGCGTCTGCGGGTCTACACTCCTTCGTCTGCTAGCAGCGCCTGCAGGTCTACGGTCCTTCGTCTGCTGCGGGTCTAGCTCCTTTGTTTATAGATCAGTCCCGCTTTGCTCGACTCGTCACCGGGACGACGTTCCTTCCCGCCAAAAGAACCAGCTGCCCCGGAGAGCCCCTGGGCGTCCTCGTCCTCAAATATGCTCTTCAGACAAAAGAGGAATGTAATCCTTTCTGGTATGGCTGGATCCTCCCGTTGGGGACTTGGTTAGAAACTGATGCCTTCTAGTTCCTGATTCTTGGTTATAATTCCTGATTCTTTAATAGTTATGTAATTCTTTCGGTGTCGAAGGGTCCTTGCATATTAATGAACTTTCTCCTTACTAATTTATTCAGACTTTCAGTTGGAGTGCCGGTCGGCCGAGCGGACTGCACACTGGACTTGTGATCCTGTGGTCCCGGGTTCGATCCCAGGCGCCGGCGAGAAACAATGGGCAGAGTTTCTTTCACCCTGATGCCCCTGTTACCTAGCAGTAAAATATGTACCTGGGTGTTAGTCAGCTGTCACGGGCTGCTTCCTGGGGGTGGAGGCCTAGTCGAGGACCGGGCCGCGGGGACACTAAAGCCCCGAAATCATCTCAAGATAACCTCAAGAGACTAAATTTTATTTTTAGTCAACAATTTTATAAATTTTCCTGAGTTTAAGATTCTACATTAATATTTACACGAGAGAATGATGTGTCAAGGGTACTAATAATATCATTGAATTCATATTTGATGGAATATTGAATCTAGCTTCCTTAGTCTTAATGATAAAAAACATTAGAATTAAAAAGCTCTTGACACAAGATATATCAGCTGTTCTTCACAAGATAATCATTCACCTTAAATGGATATTGTAAGACATAAAAACACACTATATTATTTATATCAATTGTTCTATAAACATTGACAATTAACTGAGGAAAAAGTGCAATATAACCTAAGAAGGTTATATGAAGGTGTATATACCACAGTGGAGGCGATCAGTCACAATAACGTGGCTAAAGTATGTTGACCAGACCACACACTAGAAGGTGAAGGGACGACGACGGTTCGGTCCGTCCTGGACCATTCTCAAGTCGACCATCGACTTGAGAATGGTCCAGGACGGACCGAAACATCGTCGTCCCTTCACCTTCTAGTGTGTGGTCTGGTCAACTATATACGACAGTGTTTTGACTGGTGGGTGTTGCCAGCACAAAAGAGGGTTGAATGATGGGTATTACCTCCGGGAGAGAGTGGGGGCTGTGGTTGGTAACGACGCTGCTGCTTCACCCATCACTTGCTTCCTGCCTTCATAACAACTCTGGCCAGCTCTGCGGGTAGGGAAAGGTGCCTGTGTTAGGTGTATTGTGCCACGAGAGAGAGAGAGAGAGAGAGAGAGAGAGAGAGAGAGAGAGAGAGAGAGAGAGAGAGAGAGAGAGAGAGAGAGAGAGAGAGAGAGAGAGAGAGAGACAGTGAGAGAGAGAGAGAGAGAGAGAGAGAGAGAGAGAGAGAGAGAGAGAGAGAGAGAGAGAGAGAGAGAGAGAGAGAGAGAGAGAGAGAGAGAGAGACAGACAGACAGACAGTAGGTCACAATTTCAGCTCGAACTCTCTCTAAAGTAGGGTAAACTAAGTTTGTAAAAAAATGCTATTTTTTTAGCTTAATTGAAGTTGATTACATTTTTTTTTAAATTTTATACATTCTATAAGGAAATTTGACCATAAGGAAAGAAGAAGAGATTTTTAGCATTTTAACGAAATTGTCTTCCAGTTTCAACACTATGATGGATATGAACAATATTATGCCAGAGTACTGTATTCGAGCGCTAGGAAAACTGCTTCGAAAGTCACTAGGAGAACCACTTGGAATGCTTGAGTTCCTTGCAGAACCACTTGGAGTGCTTGAAGAGCCATTAGGAAAACTTCTTGGAGTGCTTGAGAGTCCCTTGGAGAACCACTTGGAGTGCTTGGAGAGCCGCTAGGAAAACTGCTTGGAGGGCTTGGAGAGCCGCTAGGAGAACGCTTGGAGGGCTTGGAGAATCACTAGGAGAACACTTGGGGAACTTTTTGCTCCTAAACATGACCTTCCCTCCAGAACAAACCAGCCACGAAGACGCGCGACAACCGACCACCAGAGAGACGTTTCCCGCCAAAACCACAATGTCCAGCTGGATACTTGCCGCCCAAAATACACCAATATTACGGGACACATTTTGGCCACACATGTCCACAAAAATACTCATACTTCAACAACTCAAAAAATTGTAAATGAATGATTAAAATAGCACAAATAATAGTATTGAATAAATATATACAATCCTCGCATTTTGTACACATAACTGGATAGAAAGTCCCGTTCTAGTTTAAAACTTAAAACCAAATTTAACAAGTAAAAAAAAAACACACAAATAAATTGATAATAATAATAATAATAATAATAATAATAATAATAATAATAATAATAATAATAATAATAAAAATAATAATTTCTAGGCAGCATCTCAAAGAGTGTTACCATCTACAGGGTCGTGATTATTTCCCGTTAAACGCTGGCAAAGAAAACCCGCCGTTATGCACGAGGACCCGAAAGCCTGAAATTTGCAGAATATGTATGAAAAAGAATCCAAAGGCCAGTTGACCTACGACCCTAGTCAGGTCGTTACCACTAGTCGTTACCGCCAGCGAACGATATCTCTGCTTGCCGGGATAGCGACAAGATAAGGGAAAGCGCCGGAAGACACTCCTCTCTCCCTTTTTCAGGAACAGGAGAAGGGAAAGGCTTGTCCTTCCTGAAGGGAAGGGGAAAATATAGACTCTTAGCTTGCTAGAACCTCAGCCAAATTGGGTGATTATATCAACCCAAACTATCCTCCTGGATCATACGGCCCTTAGGAATACTGGATAGTTTACTGTAGATGAGCAAATGACCTCGTTTGGTCGCTAAATGAATTGTTATCAATCAATCAATCAATTCCTTTGTTCATTATTGACTCCTATAACTCCTCCACCACTCACAGGATGGGTCTGGGTGCTCCTGTAACCTCTCCACCGCTCACAGGATGGGTCTGGGGGCTCCTGTAACCCTCCACCACTCACAGGATGGGTCTGGGTGCTCCTGTAACCTCTCCACCACTCACAGGATGGGTCTGGGTGCTCCTGTAACCTCTCCACCACTCACAGGATGGGTCTGGGTGCTCCTGTAACCCTCCACCACCCACAGGATGGGTCTGGGGGCTCCTGTAGCCTCTCCACCACTCACAGGATGGGTCTGGGGGCTCCTGTAACTCTCCACCACTCACAGGATGGGTCTGGGTGCTCCTGTAACCCTCCACCACTCACAGGATGGGTCTGGGGGCTCCTGTAACCTCTCCACCACTCACAGGATGTGTCTGGGTGCTCCTGTAACCCTCCACCACTCACAGGATGGGTCTGGATGCTCCTGTAACTCTCCACCACCCACAGGATGGGTCTGGGGGCTCCTGTAACTCTCCACCACTCACAGGATGGGTCTGGGTGCTCCTGTAACTCTCCACCACCCACAGGATGGGTCTGGGTGCTCCTGTAACTCTCCACCACCAACAGGATGGGTCTGGGGGCTCCTGTAACCTCTCCACCACTCACAGGATGGGTCTGGGGGGCTCCTGTAACCTCTCCACCACTCACAGGATGGGTCTGGGTGCTCCTGTAACCCTCCACCACTCACAGGATGGTTCTGGGTGCTCCTGTAACCTCTCCACCACTCACAGGATGGGTCTGGGTGCTCCTGTAACCCTCCACCACTCACAGGATGGGTCTGGGGGCTCCTGTAACCTCTCCACCACTCACAGGATGGGTCTGGGTGCTCCTGTAACTCTCCACCACTCACAGGATGGGTCTGGGGGCTCCTGTAACTCTCCACCACTCACAGGATGGGTCTGGGTGCTCCTGTAACCTCTCCACCACTCACAGGATGGGTCTGGGGGCTCCTGTAACCCTCCACCACTCACAGGATGGGTCTGGGTGCTCCTGTAACCCTCCACCACTCACAGGATGGGTCTGGGGCTCCTGTAACCCTCCACCACTCACAGGATGGGTCTGGGTGCTCCTGTAACCTCTCCACCACTCACAGGATGGGTCTGGGGGCTCCTGTAACCCTCCACCACTCACAGGATGGGTCTGGGTGCTCCTGTAACCCTCCACCACTCACAGGATGGGTCTGGGTGCTCCTGTAACCCTCCACCACACACAGGATGGGTCTGGGGGCTCCTGTAACCTCTCCACCACTCACAGGATGGGTCTGGGTGCTCCTGTAACCCTCCACCACTCACAGGATGGGTCTGGGAGCTCCTGTAACCTCTCCACCACTCACAGGATGGGTCTGGGTGCTCCTGTAACCTCTCCACCACTCACAGGATGGGTCTGGGTGCTCCTGTAACCCTCCACCACTCACAGGATGGGTCTGGGTGCTCCTGTAACCCTCCACCACTCACAGGATGGGTCTGGGTGCTCCTGTAACCTCTCCACCACCCACAGGATGGGTCTGGGTGCTCCTGTAACCTCTCCACCACTCACAGGATGGGTCTGGGTGCTCCTGTAACCCTCCACCACTCACAGGATGGGTCTGGGTGCTCCTGTAACCCTCCACCACTCACAGGATGGGTCTGGGTGCTCCTGTAACCTCTCCACCACTCACAGGATGGGTCTGGGGGCTCCTGTAACCCTCCACCACCCACAGGATGGGTCTGGGGGCTCCTGTAACTCTCCACCACTCACAGGATGGGTCTGGGTGCTCCTGTAACCCTCCACCACTCACAGGATGGGTCTGGGTGCTCCTGTAACCTCTCCACCACTCACAGGATGGGTCTGGGGGCTCCTGTAACCTCTCCACCACTCACAGGATGGGTCTGGGAGCTCCTGTAACCTCTCCACCACTCACAGGATGGGTCTGGGGGCTCCTGTAACCCTCCACCACTCACAGGATGGGTCTGGGGGCTCCTGTAACCTCTCCACCACTCACAGGATGGGTCTGGGTGCTCCTGTAACCCTCCACCACTCACAGGATGGGTCTGGGTGCTCCTGTAACCCTCCACCACTCACAGGATGGGTCTGGGGGCTCCTGTAACCCTCCACCACTCACAGGATGGGTCTGGGTGCTCCTGTAACCTATCCACCACTCACAGGATGGGTCTGGGTGCTCCTGTAACCCTCCACCACTCACAGGATGGGTCTGGGGGCTCCTGTAACCCTCCACCACTCACAGGATGGGTCTGGGTGCTCCTGTAACTCTCCACCACTCACAGGATGGGTCTGGGTGCTCCTGTAACCTCTCCACCACTCACAGGATGGGTCTGGGGGCTCCTGTAACCTCTCCACCGCTCACAGGATGGGTCTGGGTGCTCCTGTAACCTCTCCACCACTCACAGGATGGGTCTGGGGGCTCCTGTAACCTCTCCACCACTCACAGGATGGGTCTGGGGGCTCCTGTAACCCTCCACCACTCACAGGATGGGTCTGGGGGCTCCTGTAACCCTCCACCACTCACAGGATGGGTCTGGGGGGCTCCTGTAACCTCTCCACCACTCACAGGATGGGTCTGGGTGCTCCTGTAACCTCTCCACCACTCACAGGATGGGTCTCGGTGCTCCTGTAACCCTCCACCATTCACAGGATGGGTCAGGGGGCTCCTGTAACCCTCCACCACTCACAGGATGGGTCTGGGGGCTCTTGTAACCCTCCACCACTCACAGGATGGGTCTGGGGGCTTCTGTAACCTCTCCACCACTCACAGGATGGGTCTGGGTGCTCCTGTAACCCTCCACCACTCACAGGATGGGTCTGGGGGCTCCTGTCACCCTCCACCATTCACAGGATGGGTCTGGGTGCTCCTGAAACCTCTCCACCACTCACAGGATGGGTCTGGGGGCTCCTGTAACCCCCCACCACTCACAGGATGGGTCTGGGGGCTCCTGTAACCTCTCCACCACTCACAGGATGGGTCTGGGGGCTCCTGTAACCCTCCACCACTCACAGGATGGGTCTGGGTGCTCCTGTAACCCTCCACCACTCACAGGATGGGTCTGGGTGCTCCTGTAACCCTCCACCACCCACAGGATGGGTCTGGGTGCTCCTGTAACCCTCCACCACTCACAGGATGGGTCTGGGTGCTCCTGTAACCCTCCACCACTCACAGGATGGGTCTGGGGGCTCCTGTAACCCTCCACCACTCACAGGATGGGTCTGGGAGCTCCTGTAACCTCTCCACCACTCACAGGATGGGTCTGGGTGCTCCTGTAACCCTCCACCACTCACAGGATGGGTCTGGGTGCTCCTGTAACCCTCCACCACTCACAGGATGGGTCTGGGTGCTCCTGTAACCCTCCACCACCCACAG